ATATAGATATATATATAAATATATATATATATACATATTATCTATTATTTAATTTTCTGTTACTGTGTTATTATCCATTATATAATTCCATATAAAATTATGTTTTCAGATTTTTGTAAATCATTATCTAAGTCTGAAGCATTAGGCGAATTATCTAGTATCTCTTCTGAAGGAGAAGAAAGTGAATCTGAAAAAGGATTTCATCATCCTTTTCTTTTAAAAGAAAGACCCAGTTCTATTATAATGAATATTAAGGTTGGTATATAAATCTATTCTATATTATTGTTTATAAATCTTAAATTTGATTACATTCTTATGATATAAACATCAAATTTTAAAGCAAATTTTATTTCCTCTTTTCAGGATGCAAAACAATTACCAACAAAAACGTTCCAAGAAAAAACAGCTGAAACATCAAATCAATTGAGATTGCAGTTTCCTGTTTCCAGTGGACAACATCATAGAAGAAGCGGTATGAATTTTTACGATATAATTCGTAGTTTTATTCTAATGCACCCATATGATACTAATATTTGTATTCAGAAAACGAGTGGGTACCTGTTACGCCAAAGAAACCAGAACCAAAAAAGATATTTGTACCAGCTTCTACAAATGCATCATCGATTATAATGCCACCATCTCCTGTGCAACCTGTGCAACCTGTGCAACCTGTGCAACCTGTGCAACCGGTGCAATCTGTGCAACCGGTGCAACCAGTGCAAACCGTTTTCCCAACAACAACGGAGGTAAAATAAAAAAGAAAACATCTATGCATGTGTTGTCAAATTATATGATTAATTAATTATACCGTCAATTAGTAAAAAGATTGTTCCAATTGTGATGATTGCAGACCATGGATATTGGCTCTATAGTATCTGAGAGATTAGCAGCTATAAGAAAATTAAGAGAGAATCCAAATGATGTAAACGCTTTGAATGCAATGCAACGGGCACAAAACGAGGTAAAAAAGTGACATAGATTGTCACAAAATAGCATGAGATATATATATATATTTATATATATAAATGAATCTATTTACGATATTGTAGATGAAAACTTGGGCTGAAAGTAAGCAGATACCAGGTCAGTTTACTGGTAGTACAGGAGTTAAAGTACTTACACCTGCAGAATTGTCTTCAGGTTATCAAGCCTGGGCACGTAAGGTAAAGTTATTATTGCATATTTTATTCCACTCCGATTTCACAAAATTCATCCTTGAATCAATCCTTAAATTCAAGCTCCCGATGCACAATACATTTTCAAATCAAACGTAAATTATTGTTTCATATATATGTGTGTGTGCGTACATGCGTGGGTATATATTACATACACATATAAAACGATAATTTATGTTTGATTTGATTTGTTATCTATATCTAAAAAATAAAAGATTAGGCGGGCGTGCGTGCGTGCAACATAATTAAAATTCTCATTAAAAGAACAGTATTTTATATACATGATATGTAAATGCATCCTAACACACATCTATTATAATTCCTTTCTATTTCACTCTCTTACTAAACGAATGAAACAGGTTTAATATATCTTACAATAAAATAATATTCTATGTTAATATTAAGTTATTTAAGAGTTTTGACCTGACATTGTTTAAATAAATACACTATTGACATACTGAATTGCCTGTAACAAGTTTTCGGGCATGGTCTCTGCTAGAATCAATAAAAAATTAACATTGATATTAGTAGAGACTGTGTTGTAGGCACAGACTATTTCTTATTTAGGAGTGGATTCTGTGCCTGCATGGACACAGGAGCATTATTATTTCTATGAAAATTAAATTTTGAAATTTCAAAAATTGTGATTTTAAATCTTACTAATGAGTTTATTTTATTTTAGAACAAATTTTATTATGAGAGCACAATATGAAAAATAAATTAGAATATGATGTATATTAATCTAAAATTTAATTTAATTATTATAATGTATATTAGTCTAGAATGTAATATGTATATGTATGTATATACTGATCTAAAATTTAATTTTTTACAAATTTTGTTACACAAACAAAATTTTCTGTATATTCAACTGAGATAATGAGCTCTTGTGAGATTATTGCTAATTATCGTCAGCTTCCTAGGATTTCACCAGAAGCCGATTGTTTGTTATTCATAAAGCTGGGATATTTAGCATTAGTCTGCATCCACCTGAGGGTTTGTTACAGGCATATAGCTACATCAGAGAAAAAAACTTCGGCAGCCTGGTGCAGAGATTATTATTTGTTCGGTATGTATCTGTTTGGTAAGTATACGCAAGTTGTATAACAAATTCCCGTAATTATATTTTCAAATTTTTCAACATTATGCACACACATAGAGTGAGAGGTTTTTTCAGATTATAACCGAAAAAATAATAGAATATATCTATCTTATTGATGAGTTTATTTGTTTGAATTGTATCATCTAATATACATGGTTCTTTTAGCAATTATATGTTGACTCCAAAAAATAAAACATAACTCAAAGATTATATTTTAATATTGTATCCGCGCAATGCAACTCTACATAAGTTCATTATTTCTTCTAATTCAACAAATTGTTTAGGACCAATTAGTATCGGCACAGCCTCTGTCAGGTGGGATGGGTATGGCGTTACTGCAGAAGATGGGTTGGCGTCCTGGTGAGGGCCTTGGCAAGAATAAAGAAGGGGCCTTGGAACCATTGCAACTAGAGGTAAAATTAGACAAGAAAGGACTCATTTCCGAACAGGATATTGTGCAAAAAGTTGGCAAAACTGCAAAGCCTATGGTGCCAATGATCAAAACATTGGAAGGTATATCTTAATTTAAATTATTTTGCGAACGTGTGCGTGCGTGCGTGCGTGCGTTTTTTTATTATCTACATTTATTTTGTTCTAGGCAAACATCCAGTGTCGCTTTTAGGAGAATATTGCACAAAGAAGAAACTTGGAGCACCAGTTTACGAGTTATGCTTTGAATCTGGACCAGATCACAGGAAGAATTTTCTTTTCAAAGTGAGCAATGTTATAAATAATTCAATATTTATACTTAGATATATTTATATACAAATATTTATATACAAATATATCTTTCTATTATAGGTAAAAGTAAATGGCATTGAATATAAGCCGAGTGTTGCAAGTTCAAACAAAAAACAGGCAAAAGCAGAAGCAGCACAAATATGTTTACAGAACTTAGGCTTACTGCCTTCTTAATCGCATGCACCGATATAATCGCGCAAGGAGCTTATTAATTGCTGTCGCATATAATTCTTCAATTTTTCACAGAAAAATAAAATGTAATGCCATATAAGTGACTAATTCGTGAAGATGTGTTAATAATGTCGCGAAAAGTTAAATGACTGATATATTGCCAAATTCTTATAACCATCTATTAAAGTTAATTTAAACTGGTGCAATGGCATACATAGCAAGATGTACACACAACTACGTATGCAAATAGTTACATAACTTTCTCAAATTTATTTCCAATAGCAAAAAGATGTACATTATGCTATTAGAGTATTCATTGGTTGCCTGAAGAATTAAATATTGAGGTATATTTTTATCTGCCTTCTTAGAGTCCTAATTAAGTTTCTTTATGTCTAACGTATTTTTACATGTTCTATTTATTGTAAATACTATACAATAGAAAAATGTTTGGATACAAAAGACCTAGCAGTATCATTTAAAATAAAAACTTAATTTACGTTAATTTTTTTGTGTCCATTCTCAATTTTTTCTTTTCAAACATTTTTTAAAGTTTCTACATGCAAAAATCAAAATAGAGCATGTTCCCTCTTTCCTGGATATGCGTCTCTAAAAAATATAAAAAGATTTTTTTTTTTTCAAAAAAATGTAATAATACAAAAAATATCTGAAATAAATATATACCTACATAATAATAAATTAATTTTTCAATACTGCAGCCAAAGAAGAATTAATCTGAGTAGACATCCCAGTCTTTTTCGTGTATATACACACAGTGTCATAAATGCTCAGCATCTGAATTGCAGGAGTATCAAGGCATGTTCAAGACATGTGTTCCTTTCTAAATATTCGTGCATTATCATTAATGATTATAGTAAACTAGACGTACAATTTATAAGTAGAATTTAATAATTTATAAATATTTTATAAATAACGTAGTTATTACACGGGAGAAAAAACATATAAGGATACATATTCTTGTAAACTACTGGCAAAGTTAAATTAGCCAATAATTAACTATTTATTTTAACAAATATGTATAATTAATTAGTTTGAGAAAGAATTGCAGAATGTCTAATTGTGATTTTATTTTTGTAAGAAAAATAATACTACGTTATTTATAAATTACTTATAAATTATTAAAAGTTTAAATTTAATTCAATTTTTAATTTACATTACCATTTTTCGAAGACCAGGGCACCTATCATGGAAAAAATCGGAATAGATTCCGATCAGAATTATTCAATTATTCCCTAGATTTCTCTTGTGTTTTCTAGGGAAAATGGAATTATTCCGATCGGAATTCATTCCGACATATTCCATAATAAGCATAGAAGAATAGAGATAAGGAGGCCGAACTGGCATGGAAAAATGTTCGAAAAACGGCCAAATTGCTCACTGAACTCTAATTTATTAATGCTCCGCTAGATGGCGGCTCTGTTTCATCGTACCTTATGGCCGCAGCACAGACTCTTGCATAACGCATAGTGCATAAGGGAATCGACCAATTGAAATTCTTCTTTTTCATGGAATGGGAAGAAAGGAAAGATTCTGATTAGTTGATTTGCTTATGCACTATGCGTTATGCGTTATGCAAGAGTCTGTGCTGCGGCCTTTACATATACACGCACCAGCAGCAGTGGTGTTCCTCGGCGGCTATGTAGTGTGCGGGAGTAGGCGAGACTGGCGACAGCGTACACTAACCTAGTCGCCGAGGGATACCATTTCTGCCGGTACGTGTACATGGTGGACTTGGTTACATTAGTTCTGTTTTGTGAGTTTTTACTAGTGCAGAGAAAAATGACAAAAGTGTGCATATCCGAAAAAACGCGAAACTTTGAAGACTGTTTGCATTGCTTGGTCTTCGCACTTTCATGTCACATTCAGTATTATGAGAAATATTACTAATAAACGATGGAAAAACAACAAATGTCACTGGATTAATTTTGTACACAATATATGTACGATTTTAACTCTCCATCCTGCAATCTTTCCTCCTCCTCAACTTTAAGCCAATAGCCATCCGGTACGCTTAGATTGCAGTGCCATCTATAAGTATCTATAGATACAACAATCGAGGGTCGGTTTTGGCCGCGTGTCCCGAACACGCAATTCGGCCTCTTTATCTCTATTCTTCATGATAATAAGTACCCTGGGCATAGTATAAGGCAAGAAGACTAGAACTAAGGAGGATCAACTCGCGTGGTGGGGGTGAGTCAAAAAACGTCCGCAGCTATTCACACGATGTGCAGCGGCACTGCGCATTGTGTGAAAGTTCGATATAAGAGCGACAAAGTGACGATTATAGAACGACAGAGCGACGACTATATAGAGCGACAGAGAGGACTAATGAAGTGCAAGAGTGGGGGAAGTTATCCGTCGCCACTTTTTGCCTCACCCCCACTACCGCTATTGGCACGAGTTGACTCTCCTGGTTCTAGTCTTCTTAGTATAAGGATCATACAGGGGTGCGTTCCAAAATTCACTCCGAGTAACAGAGTTTAACTCTATGCCGTTCCAAAACGTGAGATAACTGACCATATGGGCGGAGCCTATTCGTTCCAAAAGTATGAGTAAATCTACCTCGAAGTCAACTCTATGAACCCTGCTTCTGAGGTGGGTTGAAAAAGTAATGGTTCCTGCACACTGGACGCGAAA